GGACTTAAAGCGTCTTTCTGATCCCGCACTGAGAGACCACCTGCAGCTGGACTCCCCCAGCAAGCCTGACCTAACCATCCAAACGTTCCCGTACGAGTCAGTCTACACCGAGCTCCAGGCCATCTGCGCGGCACACGGCCCGAAGGACAAAGTGTGGATCTGTGACAAGGCCAGCTGTGCTCTCACACAGGTCATCCCCAAGGTGAGAGTTCTACCACAACCACAGATAGTTAGCGTTCAGAACATAGGTTACTGTCTCTGGTGTTCACAACAGATACATAAAAATAGCTAGATTGTATCTGGATTGTTTTTTCCTGAGAATTCAAGAAGTTGGTTTTGTTCTCCAAGTATGAAAACCTGATCAGATTATAAGATCTGGACTTGTATACCTAATTTAATATACTGGACACATTTTGACCCTCTTGATCTATTTCAGGCTCACAGGACTCCAATTCCCTACACTCCACTCTGCCTCGCCAAGGCTGTGAAGAACTCAACTGAGATTCAAGGCATGAAAATGGCCCATGTAAGAACCTTTGGACCGCTTGAATAACTTTAGTGTACATCTCCTAATCATTGACTTTATGACTTCATAAACTGATAAATGATTTCCCCTCACAATAGCGTTTCACATCTTCCCCACTTGTCACCCAACAGATCAAGGATGCAGTGGCCCTTTGTGAACTCTTTGCTTGGTTGGAAAAGGAGGTATAAATGTTTTTATTTTCCTGAAAAAATAACAGATTCCCTCCAGTCTGTATTCACAAGAATCCCACTGGAATTAAAGAAAATTTTAAAAAGGCTAGATAAGTTTTTAAAATGAATGGATAGGCTAAAAACATTTATGATTTTTATATTCATCAATAACCCTTATCTCTCTATCTTATCTTAAACACCTCTTGTACTGAAGAAACCCCTGTTATGGATGTTTGTATTGATATAGAGCTACTGTATTATCACAATAATGATCAATTAATTAACATTTTGATTCTCAAAATTACTATATCTCTAATTTTGACCAATATACCCAAGCCTAATGATTTTTTTTTTATTCTTACATTTTAGGAAACAAATCTTAAATGGTTAGTTGTTTGTACATATCAATGTGAGTGTGAAAACCCTGTGTTTGGATGGAGCTTTTACTTAATCCGACCTGCCCTTGAACTGTTGAATATGACACTGTTGTTTTTTCGTAAGTATTTCCGTATAACTGGGTGCTGCGATTATTTCTTTATAGATTCCAAAAGGAACAGTGACTGAGATCTCTGCTGCTGATAAGGCGGAAGAATTACGAAGGTGGGTTTTTTTTACCTCTTGGATGTTTTACAAACCATATTGGTTTTCCTTGTTTGGTTGACAAGTTCGTCCAGTTTAACTTTGTGTCAACTTTCTTACATGAATGGCATAAAAAGGTATTTCATAATGTGTAGTGACTATTCTGAACTTATACCCCCCTCTACTGGACGTGTAGCATAATGTCTGCTTCAAGGCCTTCATTTCCATCCATCCATCGTCAACCGCTTATCCTGCGTACAGGGTTGCGGGGGGGCCTTCATTTGAAAATGTTTTATTCTCTCAGTAATATATTTATCACTCTAAAAGTGTAATGTTTTTAATCATAGACACGATTTTTACATTTAGTTTTTGTGAATAATAGAAGCTCTTACCATAGTATTTTCCCTTAATAACACTGAAGAGATCCTAAAACATTTCAACAGTTCATTTTCATAGAGTAATAGTTATTAAATTGTGTGCATTTGTGTCTTTTTCAGTCAACAGAAAGAATTTGTTGGCCTCAGTTTCCCCACAATCTCCAGCGTTGGTCCAAACGGAGCAATTATACATTACGGGTCAGTTGGCTAGTGGAACAGATGAAACAGAGTTTGTTTTTGTTTTTTTAAATAAAAGTTTATCCACTACTTCTTTTCCCCTTAGACCTCTGCCTGAAACCAACAGAACCCTCTCCATGAATGAAGTTTACCTGATCGACTCTGGAGCTCAATACGTGTAAACAAGATAATTATTATACACATAAAATGTGTTCAGGCTAACCTGCCATGTACAGCATATGTCTCAGTTCAGTCAATCCTCACCTCCTTGCCTGTTGATATCAAGAACACAGACAACATAGGAACAGTTGTGGTTGTGGTGCATTACACTCATACATCTGCATCAATATTCTGTCTTTGGCAGTGATGGGACCACTGATGTTACACGCACCATGCACTTTGGGACACCATCTGCTTTTGAGAAGGTAAACTTTGCTAGTGCTCACTGTCAAAAACTAAAGAATCAGTGTAGTGTCATTGACTGAATTTATCCCAACACTGATTTTATTTTATTGTATTGAATTTTATTTTATTTTATTGTATTGTGTGCTCTCTCTTTTTTCCTCTAGGAATGCTTTACCTATGTTCTGAAGGGACACATAGCTGTCAGTGCTGCCGTATTCCCCAACGGAACAAAAGGTACTGTCCTCTACTTTGACACAAGGGTTATCTCACACTGTAGTATACACATATTATGTCATAACATGTGCAGCATTGACAAACCGCAAAGCTCAAATGATTCACTCAGGTATACAGTATTTCTTGATTATTCTGTTCTTTTTAGGCCGCTGGCAATAGCTGTGGCCGGAGCCAATATGTTTTCGGGCTGTTTGTCCATTTGTACGTCCGGCCTTTTCTCTGGAACCCTTTAAGGAAATTTCTTCAAATATGGCACAAATATCCAAAAATTTGATTGGCATAGATCAAAGGTCATAATGTCCTGGAAAAACACTTTTTTGGCCGTTTTTTAACACCATACCTCAACAGAAGGGGAGATTGTGACCATATTTCACGGCCGTTTGAACTGAACAGGTGACACTTCTGACTCGCGTTTCATTCTGAATTTCAAGCGTCATTGGAGCGCGCCTAGCTAATCATGATCCAGTGAGTGAGTGAGATTTAACTACAGCTCATAAAGATGCTTTACATCTAAAAAGAAAAAAAGAAAACCAAAGCACCGCCTTTTGTGTAACCATACTAAATAAGAATCCCATCTTTACACAGTAATCAAGTACATATGTACCTGTTATATGCAAATACATAGATAATAATCCTTTATAAATCAGTTTAACAACCTATACTCACTGGAATCTTACAATACAGTGATATCTACGATTTAGCCTAAGAAATGCACTTTATATGTTTTATTTAATTCCTTCCATGTATTCACTGTTGTTAAACCTAAAGCCAGTTTAATTACACTTGACCCTTATATTGTAGCTTTCCCATGGGGTCTATCAATTATAAGATGCAGCGTGTCACAAAGTCTGAGAAAATGTTTCTTTATTTTTTTTTTTTGAGAAATGGTTTCTAAGATATTACATTTGATGTGGGGAAACAGGGTAAATCATAGCTATCTCTCATTTCATCACATGGGGAGCAAATGTTTTTCATACTTCCGCCATGCATTGGTACAGGCCAGGGGGAGCAAGCCAGGCCAGCAGATAGAGAAAAGCACTCAATTTCACATTTGGGAAAAATTTGGTTGAAAAAACAATGACTTTTTAGTGTATCACATAAAATAAAGTATGATCTCTATCTCTAACCCTCCGTTCCCTCCCTAGGCCACCTGTTGGATTCGTTTGCCCGTTCAGCTCTGTGGGAGTCAGGGCTGGACTACCTTCATGGTACTGGCCACGGTGTGGGCTGCTTCCTGAATGTCCATGAGGGGCCCTGCGGCATCAGCTACAAGACCTTCGCCGATGAGCCTTTGGAGGCCGGCATGATCGTCAGTGACGGTATAAGCATGGTCAATTTAGCCAATCAACATTACAGTAGCAAGACTCTGTAATGTCTTTTAATTCATACTGTAAATGGTAAATACTTCTATTTTGGTGGACTGTCATGAATTTACAATGTTAAGATACACTCATGCACACATACAGACTCTGCTACTGAGAGATGTTGGTCAGCTTCTTCAAATTGCACCTGGCAATGTACCTATTAAAATTGCAATTTAAAAGAGAGCCAGGGCACTGAAAGCAGTTCATTACACACTGTGTTTGCTTTTTCATCCTTTAACAGCGATAGCATATGGCCACACGAATGGCACGTAATACCAGCTGACTGATGTGTTTATGCCTTATTTCATATTGGAGAAGTTAACTACAGGCCTTATGCAAATGTCACATCACTTCTGACTGATGGAGCTGACTACAGGCTTACAGAAAATCTCACCAGTGCCACAACATCGGGCCATAATTAAACAAATCTTCCCAAATGTTTCAGTAGTGTCATAAATTGGCTTTACAGGCTGCATGTGTTTCTTTTCTTCTTAAATATGTAACATAGCCAAAAACACATAGACACCCTAATGCAGCTGATTGGTAGTTTAGTCATTTGTCATGCTGGAAAAGTGGAAATCTTTGCAGAAGTTAACGCGCACACACACACACACACACACACGCACACATACGTTTCAGGCCCTCCTTCTATTACTTTGCGTTTCTTGTGTTTGACTATATTAAAAATTTTCATCTCAGTTCTCCTTTTTTCTAGAACCTGGGTACTATGAAGACGGATCTTTTGGCATTCGTATTGAAAATGTGGTCCTTGTCATACCAGCTAAGCCCAAAGTAAGTAGTTTAAATCACAACCAGGCCTAATAAAAGTTTAAATATGCAGAGTTGAGTTAAAGAGTTCTCTTCAAACTCAGATTTCTCAGATATTTAATGCTGTAGGAAGAAATAAAGGTGTTCTTTTCTATGTTTGATCACAGTACCAGTTGTAACTATTATAAGGGAAATCAGCATGTTTTCTTGTCTGTTTGTGTTCAGTACAACTACAGAAACAGAGGTAGCCTGACATTTGAGCCCCTCACTCTGGTTCCTATTCAAGTCAAGATGATGAACACACAGCTACTCACTCAGAAGGAGGTAAGGAATATCCAGTGTGGTCCAGTGGTTTAATATTTTAAATAATCAAAGACAAATTCATCCCCATAAAAAAAAAGAATCTCAAAAGGTTTTTATTGGCAATGCGACAACACACCAAATGTATTTAGCTTAACATGACATATAGTAAAATCATGAACTATGCGTTTGAATGTTTGATAAAAGCCCCAACTCTTCCTATTACATAATGCGCTACTTAAATACATTCTCTTCATGGTTCGACAGTTCTTTGACCGCCTCTCTTTTCCGTTCCGCAGCGCGACTGGGTGAACGAGTACCACAGGAAGTGCCGGGAGGTGGTTGGAGCAGAGCTGGAGAAGCAAGGCAGGAAGGATGCACTGGAGTGGCTGATCAGAGAGACCCAGCCAATCGTCTGAGGATTGACTCTTGTGCAGTGCAGTCCCTTAGCCCAGAAGTACTGTACGATCAATTGCTCTGCAGTGATAATCGTTTGTAATTTTTTCATCTTTCTCTGTATCTCACACTCTGCTTCTTTTGTAAAGCACATTGTATCAGCAGTTTTATTAAAGATCAATAAAAAATCCAGAAAGAACTTTACTAAGTTTACTGCTTTTCTTGAACTATGACGACCTCATGTTCAGCCTGGCAAACCTGCATTTTTGAGGTTATCTAGTGGAGGTTTGTGAAAGGACTTTGCAAACCCAAATGCAGAATAACTTCTTAAGATGTAGTAGTCCCGTGGAAAGTGAATACAAGTACATAATTGACTTGTGATGATTGAGTACAACATCACTATGTACAGTATTGCAACACTATACCAATATGCCATTACAGAAAACATCCAAAATTTATACGTGATTATATAGCCTCAATGTAACTAGTAGCATAATCCTGTACTTACATTTTGTACCTGTAAATACCATACATAAATACTTAAATGCATTTTCTATCTTATACAACATTTACTAAGCCATTGACAAAACTATTTGCTCATGAACTTGCATGTGTTACAAACAAAACTGGCACTTGCTAATAAAAACAAAACCAATCTTCCATAGCTCTACTAGTTGTATCTTAAAGTCCTGCATTTATATTTTAAAGACAGAAAACTGTTGATATGCTTTCTGTTGGCTAAGACTGGCATCCATTGCAGTTGCATGGTTCAGCATCAAATGCACATCCTTGTTTGTTCTTGCACCCAACCACATCTTTAGTTCACGCACTTTTAAACTTACTCTGGAGTTATTTGTCATGAAAAAGTAGATTGCGGTTTTAATGTGTACACCTGTGATTTAGCGTTGTGGGACTCACAAGAGACAGATCTAAACAAAGAATGATCAATACTGAAGTAGCAGTGAGCAAAATATCCTACATTTTAGTCCCTAGTACTTGGCAAGCTTTCAAACAGATCCTGCATTTCCCATAATGCAGTTCGATAGCATTTATTCTGGTGAACGCCCACATCTTTCTAACTTCATCCCGCAGTCTATAATGTGGACTTTCTGTTTTGTCCAAGCCTGAGGTAGCCCCTATGACATCACCATGACATCATTAGGGTTTTTTCTCAGACCTGAGCTACAGAGGCCATTATACAACAGAGTAGTACTCCTCCTCATTATAATTAAGTTGAATTGGTACAATCGATGGAGTCCCCCTTTAGTGGCCTGTATATGGTGACATAACTTTTGATAGACACAGCTGCAGAGGTCAAACCTCTTACCAGGGTCTCTCCAGTCCACTATGTGACATTCAGACAGCTTTTCCCTTGTACCCCCCACAGCACAACTCCTCACCACTTTCTAAAGCTGCATGTAAAAAATCGGAGGGTCCAGAATGACGCCACTGTTTGGATCATTGGCATACTCTTGAAATGACAGTGACAGTGCAGTTTGCTCCTCTGGTCCCTGTGGGGCCTCGCACCCCACCTCCTCTTCCTCCTTCACCCCTACAGGCAGCGGGTTGCTGTAGATGTAATAGATCCTGGAGTTGTCCTTTGCTGCGTCTGGTTTCCTGAAGAAGGCGAAGGGGTTGATGAAGCTGGTCGACCTCTTCACTGCTCTGACCGCCACGGGGTCCAGCGACTCGCCTTGGGTCACTGCACTCTCATACACGTGGGCTCTCTTTGACTGCCTGGTGAAGAAGATGGCACTAATTGCACTAATGACACTAATTTAATTTTACATTGCATTGCATTCTATTTGAATATACAGTTGCTTCAGATACTTTTAGATTCAGCAGAAGTAGTACAAATTTTCAGTAGGCTACACAGGATATGATGTAATGTTCTGTGTTATTAAATTAGTGGCTGCACCTACATTGAGACTTCCATTGATCCTGATAAAGCTGAGAAAGCAGGTCATAAGCAAGTGTTTACAGGGATTATTTTAAAGTATCAAAGTACAACTGATATCTAATCTCACCTGCTGCGGTTGTAGCAGACAGTGATGCAGTACAAGCCGGTGATAGTGAGGATACACAAGGCCAGGGCAATCATGACTATGTTAAACACTTTGAACTCTGGGGATAGGAAAAAAAACAAGAGAGTTTCACTAGAGGATACACTGAAACTTAATAAAACTCTAGTGGTGACAGTACAGTGAAATTAGATGAACTGATAGAAAAAGAGTTTAACACACCAAACAGAGCTGTGTTCATCTCCTGGTCATGTAGTCCCAAAGCTGCTGTCCCGTTCAGAGGGAGGCTGTCTGCCGTCATTGCTCGGTCCTGTTGGGCTCCACTCATGTTGCTGCCATTAGCTTCCAAAACGATGGACCAAAGGCTGAGCTTCAAGCCTTTTCTCACTGGTTTCAATAGAAACCCGGGCCATGTGACCCAAACAGCTCGACTCAGTCGCTGTGGAGACACCCCCTTCTTTTGTCACCCCCTCCATTCAAGTTGGGTACCCCCCTCTCTACTCCCCTTGTTTTACTGCTCATTATTCTGTTCAGCATTTTCAGGGGACTCTGAGGGGAGGGAGATTATGGGGCTTTTATAAAGTTTGTAACAAGCTCTGAGTGCTCACCCAAAACCAGAGATTTTGCATGCTTTCGGGCTTGCAAAGACCACTGCTGAAAATGTGTGACAGGAAGCAAAGACCAACTTAATAACAGTTGAATTCAAATATGGAGTCCCCGTAAGTTTTCAGCTTTTCGCTCTTTAAAGCAAATGTAAATCCTCTGATGTCAGATACATCCATGAGATGAATGACAGAACATCTAAGAAGCCTTGCTGCCATCCACGCTCATGATTAATATACCAACGTTTGTGTGCCATGTGCCATCTTATCTATACTTAAAAAACATATGTATCAAATTATGGCTTCAACTAACAACTATCTTCATTGTTAATAAATCTGACAATTGATATTTTGACCTATAAAATGTCAGAAAATTGTTAAAAAAAAGGTCTATCACAAGTTCAGAGAGTCCAATGTTAAATCTGTAAATTGTCTGTTTTTTCCAACCAACATTCCAAACTACAAATACAGTATATTCAATTTACAATAACAAAGAAGAGAGAAAAGCAGTGAGTTGTCTCAATATAATAACAACTTCAAACTAAATTTCAATAAATTTTACTAAACCTAAGCTGATCACACCCAAGCAGCATTCAAACACAAGCCTCAAATTTCCTGATGATGACAAAATGTGTTTTGGGGGACCGGAGTACAGTGCACCAAATCGCTCAAGTCAGGAAAGCAGGGTCAGATCCACAGGCCGATGTTTCCAAATGGCTGCAAGAGCCAAAGGCAGCCAAAAGGCAACAAAGACAGCATTCTCCTTTCTCTTTATGCTTCACTTCACCCTGCAGCACCATAGGAGATATTACGCAATTAGTTGAGCATCTAATTAAAGCAGGGTTTTGTTTCCCTGTGTGACTGGACAAGCTGCTGTATAGACTAAACTGTTTGCGAGTGACCTTTCAATCAACCTGCTCGGGTGGAGTTACTGCATAGGATGATACATGCGTGTTGGAAGCTAAAGATAAGACCAGGACATTATTTGTTACTCAAGTTAGTGTTAGTTTACTTATCAGACAACCTGGCATTAAAATGTTCTGCTTATTTTTTAACATAGATGATTCATTATTCTATGTCTATTGATGTTCCTTTATTGAAATTCTTGAGTGTAGTACAATATTAGTCGTATAATATATATTTAACAGCATATGTGATTGGACAAATATTCATCCATGCATACACTGCTGATGCAATAAACTAGAGTTTAATAATTGTCTTTTTTTGTGGTTCAGGCCATCATCAAAGCTTCGATCACAATGCCACTTTAACAGAGCTATTTAAGTGCAGTGTAGTAGAAATGCAGTGTATAAATGTAAGTCTTTTCATTCCACTTTCTTAATCACTGCTACAAACACTTTTTTATTGTAAATGACAAATGACACTTTTTCACTGTTGAATGGACTCTTGAAAGGATAAGATATTTCACAATTTTCTAACTAAAAAGTGCCAAATAAATGTTTTCAATCTAGGTAGTGGCATTAGCACCATTTGGGAAATAATGTCTCATCAAAATTAAAAAGATGTTTCATTGGATTTGCTTCTCTATCCTATCCTCTTAGGGTCGTCTAGTGTTATTCTCATTGATACCGTATCCAGGTTTGGTTGTGATTTGTTTATAAGGAGATGGACTGAAAAGTGAAAAAGTTTTTACATAAACAACTTTCTACCTTTTAATCTAAATTCCACAAAACATGGGAGAAATGTTCTCAATCAGCGGATGCTTTTCAGCTATTTCCTGAACCAACTAGACAATGACAGCATTGTGCCATCTCCACCTTTCACACATTACTTTATCAGCTATTCAGTACAAATACTGTCTGGTCAGTCTGTCCAACAGTAATTAGTAACTGCATCTTACTACAAATCAGACAAATTTAACTTATTTTTGCAATCACTGCAGTTTTGTTTAGTTCCTCCACTAGGTGTCAGACCTTCCCTTTATGTCTGTACCTCCAGTCTGGAGTCAGCATAACTCAGGAAGGGACAGCTCTGTGGTATTTATCAGTTTGGCAGTTTGGTCTTGAGTGACAGAGGTGGCCTTTATATTCCAAGCCAGCCTACGGTAAAGAAAAACAAAGACAGAGAGAGATTGACCGATTAGGAAATAAGCCATGACACAGAGGCTGCAATATCTGTTTATTAGCCTCCTAAACATCTTTAAAGCCTGTTTAATTTTCACATCCATCCTGCTTCTCTGCAGAGTTAAGCTGTTTTGATTTAAGGGCATGTGGGTGGCATTAAGTTGGTACAGTTGTTTTGAGCAGACCGGTATGCATAAACCAACTCTGTCTGTGGCAGCTATCATGGGAATGAGACCAGAAATATTCCAACTCGGTGTTTCTCAGTTTCTCCCAAAACCAAAATACGGAAATTATAATATTTATCATTATGGATAATGAGTGGGCATAACTTTAGTAATAACATTTACTCCTTTCAATGTTTTTTTTAATCTTTTCTTTTTATGTAGTTTTAAGGTGTACACTTATTAAGAGTAAATTGAACCATTGTAGTATTTTATTGTTTTCTTTTTACTGGTGAAGGTTTAATGACATTTACTTACTAATAATACCCCTGTTCTAACTAAGGATACTATTCAGATGTGGTTTTACACTTTATTCAGAGAGATTTAAGTATTAAATGCACATTATTTAAGCATGCAATTCTATCAAAGAAGTGGAATTATTTCGCAACACCAGGTGATAGAAAAATGTAGTCATAATTTACTATAATCCTGAGAAATACTGCTTGTGCTTGGTTTGACTGAGAATTTGTGTTGGGAAATCCCTCTGGTGATGTTAACTGACAACGTTCAGTCAACAAAAAGAGTTGAGCGTCATCTGTTTTTGACTGCACACTTTATTAAATCGATTTTCAATGACAGTAGTCTAGGTTGACCTCTTGCCCTCCTTTTGGAGCCACATGAAAGGGATTACATCCAAAAATGTTCTCCTTTCTAAAATGTTACCTTTATTGTGTAGGCTACATATTTTACATCGACTACTATATTCAAATATATTTTTACAACAGTGTTTTTAGGTAAAAGATAACTAAAATACTTTATTTAACCAAGAAATAGCCCCACTGAGATAAAAAAGTGTGTCAAAGCCATGATAGCAGCACTACACAGAACACAAAACATAAAGGTTACAAAACATATGAAACGTATAATGAGCTGAATAAAGTATGACGATAACAGACCAGGATCACAAAACAAATGAGATCAAATGTTGATTTAAGGTTGATGTATTAAAGGTAATGAAAGTAGTAGATTAAAATCCTTAAGAATAAATATATAAAATTAGAAAAAATAAATCCGTAAACAGCAAATACTGATGAATACAATGTATGCTACAATAATATTACAACTGAATAAACAGTTTAAAAACACTAAGTTCTAAGTTTCATTTCATTTGAGTAACACATGGTGTATTATGTTAGTGAACTTGATTGCACAATATAGCAGTTGCCACATCTGACATTTGGAAATTAATATTGAGGAGGGAAAGAATAATAGTGTTTATATGACATAAACCTTCTTGATGTGCTGCCAGGTTAAATAAAAAGTCTATCTGTGAGGATGTCAGCTTTAGGAAACGCAATGAATAAAATGTTTAATGTCAGTGTTAATGCATGCTCTCACTTTCACAGCCTATCCACAACTAGCACCTCACTTATCAGTGTAACAGTGTTAATGTGCTCCCTCACAACCTTCACAAAGTCTCTCCCATGTGCACCCAAAGGTCCCTTATCAGGCCACATAAGCATTTTGTGTTTTACTTTAGATTTTAGGCATTTTAATGGTGTTTTTATCCACAGCAGCTTACATTGACTAAGCTGGTGAGATTGTATGTCTTGCTTAATGACTCACAGTTATTAGACACACTGGCTTGGACCCAACATCCTCATGATATAAGCATAGATATAAGTCACTATTTCCTTCTCTAATTTCCTTACCCTCTTCCCCTTTCTCTCTCTTGTTATCTATTTGCTCCAAAATGTGAGTTCTTTTGAAAAACTGACCCTACAAAAAAATTTAAAGAAACAATATTGAAATTAAATCATATTCAGCTTCATGTAATGGTATCATAATGCTTTGGTCGGCCATATGGCTGCATTTACAGAGTGGATTCACTGAGAATAACATTTTATGCGGAGGATCGTTTCTGTAGAAAACTTTATTTCATGTTTTCTTTGAGTCTTTGCAGTAAACTCTATCAATCATCTCTCCTGTAATCTTCCCCAAACCCTCCCCACTCACACAGACTGGCCAGTGAATTCCTGACCATCCCTCATCACCCTGCCTCACCCACCATGCTCCTCTGTCTCCCCCTCTATGTGTTTGTGCAGAGGCTGGTGGGGAATTAGCATTCTGGCGTAATACATTTGTTCTGATGTGGTTCAGCGGGAAGGTCCTTCCTTGATTTATTACACTTGTCAGTTAAACTTCTGGCGGTACGTTGTTTAACAAAGGCTGGGTACCGTATGCTGGTTGTGTTTTCTCAGATTTTGATCGTTTTTTGTATCAGTGATCATGCCTCAGAGTTTGAGTGACTTGTGTACATGGAGAAAGGTTTATTATATACAGCAGACACAGTCATGTCATGTATTTTAGTTAAAAGGATCCCAAGAGTGAACTTGTGATAATGAAAATAAGTCTAACCAAGGAGCGCCTAGCCAAATGGTTATGGTGCATGCTATGTTACAACCCAGTTTGACCACTCTCCCCCATTTTCTGTTTGCCTCCTCCTATCCTATTTAATAAAGGGGGGGAAACAAAAGATTGCAAG